TTATGGAATAAAAATCAAGAATAACAATTATAATAATAGTTATTCAATAAAAATCAGGAATAACAATTATAATAATAGATATTGAATAAAAATCAAGAATAACAATTATAATAATAGTTATGGAATAAAAATCAAGAATAACAATTATAATAATAGTTATTCTATAAAAATCAAGAATAACAATTATAATAATAGTTATTGAATAAAAATCAAGAATAACAATTATAATTATTGAATAAAAATTAAGAATAACAATTATAATAATAGTTATTGAATAAAAATCAAGAATAACAATTATAATAATAGTTATTGAATAAAAATCAAGAATAACAATTATAATAATAGTTATGGAATAAAAATCAAGAATAACAATTATAATAATAGTAATGGAATAAAAATCAAGAATAACAATTATAATAATAGTTATGGAATAAAAATCAAGAATAACAATTATAATAATAGTTATGGAATAAAAATCAAGAATAACAATTATAATAATAGTTATTGAATAAAAATCAAGAATAACAATTATAATAATAGTTATTGAATAAAAATCAAGAATAACAATTATAATAATAGTTATGGAATAAAAATCAAGAATAACAATTATAATAATAGTTATTCAATAAAAATCAGGAATAACAATTATAATAATAGATATTGAATAAAAATCAAGAATAACAATTATAATAATAGTTATGGAATAAAAATCAAGAATAACAATTATAATAATAGTTATTGAATAAAAATCAAGAATAACAATTATAATAATAGTTATGGATAAAAATCAAGAATAACAATTATAATAATAGTTATGGAATAAAAATCAAGAATAACAATTATAATAATAGTTATTGAATAAAAATCAAGAATAACAATTATAATAATAGTTATTGAATAAAAATCAAGAATAACAATTATAATAATAGTTATGGAATAAAAATCAAGAATAACAATTATAATAATAGTTATTGAATAAAAATCAAGAATAACAATTATAATAATAGTTATGGAATAAAAATCAAGAATAACAATTATAATAATAGTTATGGAATAAAAATCAAGAATAACAATTATAATAATAGTTATGGAATAAAAATCAAGAATAACAATTATAATAATAGTTATGGAATAAAAATCAAGAATAACAATTATAATAATAGTTATGGAATAAAAATCAAGAATAACAATTATAATAATAGTTATTGAATAAAAATCAAGAATAACAATTATAATAATAGTTATGGAATAAAAATCAAAAATAACAATTATAATAATAGTTATTGAGTAAAAATCAAGAATAACAATTATAATAAAAGTTATGGAATAAAAATCAAGAATAACAATTATAATAATAGTTATTGAATAAAAATCAAGAATAACAATTATAATAATAGTTATGGATAAAAATCAAGAATAACAATTATAATAATAGTTATTCTATAAAAATCAAGAATAACAATTATAATAATAGTTATTCAATAAAAATCAAGAATAACAATTATAATAATAGTTATTGAATAAAAATCAAGAATAACAATTATAATAATAGTTATTCAATAAAAATCAGGAATAACAATTATAATAATAGTTATTCAATAAAAATCAAGAATAACAATTATAATAATAGTTATGGAATAAAAATCAAGAATAACAATTATAATAATAGTTATTCAATAAAAATCAAGAATAACAATTATAATAATAGTTATGGAATAAAAATCAAGAATAACAATTATAATAATAGTTATTGAATAAAAATCAAGAATAACAATTATAATAATAGTTATGGAATAAAAATCAAGAATAACAATTATAATAATAGTTATGGAATAAAAATCAAGAATAACAATTATAATAATAGTTATTCAATAAAAATCAAGAATAACAATTATAATAATAGTTATGGAATAAAAATCAAGAATAACAATTATAATAATAGTTATTGAATAAAAATCAAGAATAACAATTATAATAATAGTTATGGAATAAAAATCAAGAATAACAATTATAATAATAGTTATTGAATAAAAATCAAGAATAACAATTATAATAATAGTTATGGAATAAAAATCAAGAATAACAATTATAATAATAGTTATGGAATAAAAATCAAGAATAACAATTATAATAATAGTTATGGAATAAAAATCAAGAATAACAATTATAATAATAGTTATTGAATAAAAATCAAAAATAACAATTATAATAATAGTTATTGAGTAAAAATCAAGAATAACCATTATAATAATAGTTATGGAATAAAAATCAAGAATAACAATTATAATAATAGTTATTGAATAAAAATCAAGAATAACAATTATAATAATAGTTATTGAATAAAAATTATTATAATTATTATAATTATTATTCTTGATTTTTATTATTTTTGATTTGTATTTTTTTGCTCAATATAAATGCCTAAAATGGCTTAAAACGGTGGAGGAGGCATACTTTTAGGGATACCACATTAAAAGTAAGCGCGCCCTGAACTTCACCGCGGCAAGGTAGTGTAGAAAGAAGCACAAACAAAAAAAGTGTATTTAATAATTTTTTAAAAGCTAAGCATTGAAAAACAATTAAAAAAGATACCATGTCCGACTGTCAAATAGTTTAAGCGCGCAAAAAAGTTTGATGATTCGAGGATTTTTAGGTATTCTAATGTTTATCCCCTTTCCACCTAAGCACCTTTCTTATTCGAATTTTGAAACATTTTATCAGAATTTTTTTTATCCGCATCTGTCTCTCTCTCTCTCACGCTTCTCACAACACCAACCTGACAGGGTGCGCACATAGCATGATTAAGAGAGAGAGGGAGAATGAGAAGCCACCGCAAATGTACTTATTCTGGCTATAATAATGTTCCGACCTGATCCCGATTGGGCAGTCCAGTAGATATGGTTATTCAGTACGATTCTGTAAGCCTAAATCGGTTCTAAAAACTGATTTTCGGTTTCCTCGTATCTCCAAAATTGTGGATGCCAAAGATTTTGAGAACTAGGGGTCAAAAAAAGACGGATAGACGAAATTCTATATTTGTAGATACATATATCGATTAGGCTATCGATTGGGCGTTAAACACACCCACATCCACCACAAAACTAATATATCCCTAAACTCTAAGAGTAAACTAACAATTTCAAACCTTTCAGTCCCAAATAGATTTTTGAGGCAGCATTTTACATGAACAAATAATTGTATCCGATAAATGGATCAGCTTCCTAAAAGATTATCAAATTTTTAAAAGTTTAGTTCTGTTCTATGAGTAAAAAAAAAAATTATTTTAGCCGAAAACTTAAAGAAAAAAAAGTTTTCTGTATGCTGGCATTACTTCTACATCCAAAATATGCTATTGCCTGCTCAGATAAAAACTTTCCAAATTAATGAGCACTTTCATAGTATATTTTTGGGTGTTTATAATTTCATATATGTAGGTATTTATGTATAATATCTCTTCATATGGTATATTAAATAAAAATCATAAATAGTTCATAATGTTATAATGAGAGTTTTTCAAAAATAAAAGTATAATTGAATTTGCTTTGAACCAAGTGGTTCAACCACGATTACCAAAAAATTTCAAATTATATATACATACATACATATGTACATAGGTAGTGATGAAGAAACATGGGCCGCGATATATGTATATAGTAAGTTAAGTTTTCAACATTTATGTTCTGTTAAGTTTTTTTTGGTTTTGCTTACTCACATTTGTACTGTAAACACATACATTTTGTACTCCGCTTATGCCTTATGCCGCACCGAAGCGGTTCTCTCGGTTTTTTCGGTTCTTTATCCCGCCTTGTTCGTCACTGCAGCGCAGCCGCAGCATCGAAGCTGTTCACAAATGTCCCAGTGTTATCTCTTCATCGATGGAGAGCCACTAGTTTACGCTTGCTTACTATCCCAACGCCTTTCTTGTGTTTCATTGATAGAGCGTGATGGGCCGCAAACGTGACTATTTTCTACGGGAATTTTTCAATTTTGAGGTGGAAAGAAATGCGAGTGTGTGCAATATATGCCGGCACGTGATGAAGGGCAGCTATACGACTAACTTGAGACGCCACCTGCTCGCTGAGCATAAATCGCAGTACGACATCGCGGTCAGGGAGTGGAAAAAAAGTGAGCCCGTGAAAAAAACGAAACGAATATCGTTTACCTTCGCCACAACTGAAGTCAAGGAGGCATGCGTTCAGTTAGTAACAACGGGGAGAATGCCGATCGTTGCGCTGGACTCTGAGCCGTTTAAAACGCTGACAAGCCAGATCTTTTCCGGATTGAAGATGATTCCCATAACATCCAGAAATATAATGGAGCATGTGGCGGAAAAATTTGAAATCGTCAAGGCGTCCATTGTGAACGGAATGAAACTGAAATTAGTTTCCCTCAAGCTTGACATCGCATCCGGGCACGGTAGAGGCATTTTGGGAGTGAGTGCCCAGTTCTACGAGGACAAGGCGATTAAGGTAGTCACCCTGGGAGTAATCGAGCTTAACAAAGAGCACACCGGCGCAAGTCTCGGTGCTGAAACTAAGAATATTCTGGAAGAGTTCGGTTTGACGAGAAACCAAATATATTCGGTTACGTCGGACAATGGTCGTGACGTTATAAAGTCTATTGGAATCAAGAACGAAGAATTCGATGGTAGCTGCGATGATGTCGAAGAGGAGCTGAAGCCGCAAGTGAACATCTACTCCATTGCATCGATCAGATGTGCTGCTCACACACTTCAACTGGCAGTTAAAGATTTTCTTAAGACAAATGATACTCTCATCGATAAGGCTCGCAGGCTGGTTAAAGCATTGAGGACTGCCACCTACAGGTATACTATTATTAAACCTTGCAACGAACCCTCTCCTAGTTCTCAAATGTTTTTTAGGGCTTCAATTTCAAATGAAGGCTTGCCTCAGCCCCTTATTGACTCTCCTACGATGTGGACTTCGACCTACGAGATGCTTGAACGCCTTCTTCTGTTGAAGAACTTTTTTGAGAACCACGGTAATGAGCTGCTTACATTTTCTGAGGCAGATTGGACAGAAGTTAAGGTACTGGCCGAAGCATTGGAACCGATCTATTTGGCCAACCAAAAGCTGCAGACGGAGCAGCTATATCTAGGCGATTTTTACAAGATGTGGCTAGATCTCACGTTGACAGTGGCAGCCATGAAAAACCCACACAGTGCGGCATTGCGGGAGGCAATCGGGAAGAGAGAAGAGGCTTTAACATCCAACGAATCGGTCACTTCTGCCATTTATTTGGATCCCAGGATGAGAAGAGTTTTGAGTAAAAATCCAATTAAGCTGATGTGTGCCAGAAATCATTTAACTACAGTTTTTAAAAAAATTCATGGTGTTGCAAAAAGAGTAAGCACGATCTATGACGATTAAAATGCACTTGTAATTTGATAAATATATTCTTCATTGCAGGAAGATCTATCACTAGGAAAAAACTCACATTCGTCAGAGTCCACTGCGCCTGACTTGAAGCTGCCGTCTACAAGCCAGCTTTCGACCGCCTCGCAGAGCACTTGCTCGTCACTCAATGATTTCCTCAATTCCTTTGCTGTGGCTTCAGGCAATGAGGAATCAGACGAGGACGAGGCGCAATACGAAGTACAGCTGGCAATAAACGAGATCAACGACTACTGTCCAAAGCCAATTGATGTCAACCAAAATATTATGAGTTATTGGGAGGAGAAAAAGTTCATATATCCCTGCTTATATCAATTGGCAAAGGTTATTCATTGTGTTCCGGCAACACGAGTCAGCGTCGAAAGGACATTTTCGGCACTGAAACTTGGCCTATCCGACTTGCGACGTCATTTGTCCGAAAATGCAGTCAAACAAATTATTTTTTTAAGACTGAACACATTATAAAGAAATGCAAAACTCCATTTACTATATCACACTCTACCGCGCACTCGGCGAAAGCCCTTCGTTCCCGGGCCCCACTCAACCGAGAAATATAAAAGTGAAACATCAAACAGAGTTTGTTTTTCAAATATATAGGATATGCTTTTTTCGCTTACCACCATCTCGTTTGGCCAGACGTAGGGTCTGCGCTCGATTATTCAGCACCGAAGCTCTTTGGGCTTGGTTCAGGGCCAGCTGGAATACCTTTAAAGCCTCATCGAAACTGCCCTTTTCCGTTAGTAGAACCCCTTGCAGCTCCAGCTCCCTGGAAGATCTCACAGCCTCCGTGTCGGGCTCCACATCTGCCAGCTGCGACTCACACGGCACGGAGACACTCGGCTGCGTGCTGCTCAGCTCCAGGGGATTGAAGATGGACTCCAGCACCTGGTGATCGTGTGAACTGAGCTTGAGATTAACCTGCGGCATTGCTATCTGGCTAACTGCCTATCTGGCGTGGTCTATTGAGTAACTATAAACTGACTAAAGCTAGAATCTGAAATCGAAACACCAACAAGTGGGGGGAATCTTAAGTCGAATGCAAATCAGGCTACCCAACCAGTTCAGGCCCACAGAGAGAGAGAGATAGAGAGAGAGAGCCCCGCTTGAAAAGATCTTGGTTATATAAAAAAAACGTTTTGTTTTTATTTTTCTGGTTTTGTTTTTTTTTTGTTGTTGTTTTCTTTATGTATATGTAAATACCAAGGACAATATCATTTGTTTTTCACTTTGTTTTTGCAATAATTTAATTAATAATATAATAATATTAAATCAGCGCTTTCCTCAAACATTTCCATATCCATTTTCATGTTCTGTTTCAGTTTTCCTTTTTATATATATCCGCTATGCTAATGCGTTTACATTTGGTTTTAATTTTGATAAATACAATTATTATTAATGCTTCAATAAATTGTTGTTGTTCGCTTTAAATGTTTAACTTTATGCTGGTTTTTTTTTTGTTTTTTCAAAAAATTCTCCTTTACAATATACACAACTGAAATACTTTTAACAATGGATTTTCTTTCTAGCACTATGCTCTAGTTTAGCTCGATCTTTTGCGTAATGCCTGGTGTTTTTCTTTCCTAATTCTCAGTTTTTTTTTTGTTTTTGTTTTTTTTCGGATGGGGATAAAGAGATTAGATCAGATCAGATTAGAGATTCAACATAAATAAAAGGAATTTTCGGTACATCTGGGGGTTGCTGTCTCGCAAGCAAAGCAAATTGGCTCTAGAAACCACTTTTTGTAGGTGCAGGTTCGGTTCGGTTAAAGAAAGAAATTCAAATTGTACATATACCATATATAAATATATGTTCTTTTGCTATGAGAATTTGACTATATGTTTTTGTATTTGGTTTTGTGGTTCAGTGGTTCATACGGTGCTTTGTTCTTGTGTTCTTTTCTTTACTTTTCTTTACTTTTCCTAAATTTTCTTTTGCTTTTTCTTGATATATGTATGTATGATAAAAAATATAAAAGTGAGCATTGAAATTTACCTTCATTCGTTCCGTTCTTCTTCCTATATGTATATATATATATATCTAGGTATATATATATATATGTATATATATGTATATATATATTACAAGTCAGTGTTTGTTTGTGTTTGTCGTGTCTATATAGCAGATACAGATATATAACCATTTCTTGTTATGTACTAGGTGGCACAGTTTGTTTTTTGTTGTAGTTTTAGTTGGTTGTTTGTTGTTGGTTTTTGTGGTCTGGTCTGAATGAATAAGGGGTTGTCTGTAAGGGGGAGATCAACTCAAAAGCGAGACCTGGAAATAATAAGAGATCTTGTCTATCTGTTCAATATACACAGTTATACGTTTACATATACATATATATTTATCGATATATCTACAAGTTGGATTATCTCTGATTAAAAGTCTAGCTCAATCTTTATTTTACAACTGGTTTGCTTCGGCTGAGGCTCTGCTAATCGGTAATACAGTTATCCATATCGACTAGAATCCATATTAACTATCGGCTATTGCTATTTATTTTACGATATTTAAGTGGTACATGGTTGTTTGTGGTTTGTGGCTCCTTTCTATTACATACATACATTTATAGTACGTTTTCGCATGGTATTTATAAGCTTTCGTTTCTTCTTCCGATTCCGATTTCGATTCTGATTCCGATATTACGATTTTCTGTTTCTGTTTCTGTTTGGTGTTGGTTGAATGAGTTTAAATGCCGTTTACCCTTTTATAAGCATAGCATATAGATAGCCTTTTGGTTGTTGTTTTGTAATCGTATTCCTATATAGTAAGTACCTACTATACATATACTGTTGTATATAGTTTGCTTCATCGGTGTGTGTTTGTGTGTAACTGTGTGTGTGTGTGGGGGTGTGTGTGTGTGGGTGTTGAAGTTGAAATTGAAATTGTATTTGAATTTTACATAAATTGAAATTGTTTTTTGGTGGCTTTGCTTAAAATTGCTTCTCATTGTCGTTTACAATTTAGATATAGTTTAGCATTCTATAAATACGATATATGTATAGTATGTGTTATGTTTAGCATGTATTTCATGTATATATTATGTTAGTTAGATATTTATCTGATAGTTACAAAGTTAGGTAAGCCTTGTCTTCGGAATCTATCGCAATATACAGAGGCGTCCGTCCGTCCGGCCTGTCAGGGGTAATTAATCCGTTAATCCGCTGATACATACACATACATTCCCCGCTCGGACATCGTAAACTGAGTGTTTTGTGTGTTTATAAATTTTGGAAAATTCAATTTGTAATTTGTATTTGTAATTAGATTTTTGTTTGTCTTTTATGTGGTAGAATCACTAACAATAAGTAACAGCATAAGCTTGTTTTTTGTTTCGAATTTTCATCATTTTCATCGTTTTCATGTATGTAGCTAAAAATGTACATAACTAATATACAGTAAAGCGTTTAATTACATAATAGTCAACAAAAGTACAAGTACAATATCTCGTTAACGATTCAATTTCTCAATTTGTTTAATAAATATTCTGTGGTTTTATTTTTTTCTTTGTTTAGCTTTTTTTAGCTTTCCATACAGACACGTACATACATACATACATACATAGAGAGTTAATAAGAGAGAGAGAGAGAGAGAGCTTAGCAGAGAAATGGATTCTGTTAGTTTCGTAATGGAGAAAACAAGCCATACTATAACTATATATGTTTATTGTACGAGTATATCTCTAGACACAAAGTTAAGCTGTTGTTGCGGGACTTGGACTTGGACATGGACTTGGGTGTCGAACAAGTTGCTCTACGTACGTAAGACATGCAAAAGTTTCACTTGAATCCAAACACTATCACACACAACGAACGAAATCAACAACAAATCAATTGCCAAAACGATGACTGACCAAGTGATTGAACGATTGAGTGAGTGACAGATATACATAGGTGGATCGGTACACCGGTAGATCGGCTCATCGATCCATAGAGAGAGCGAAAAATAGCTTTGTTTTCTATTAAAAAGGTTTTTGTTTTGTTTTGTTTTGTTTTTGCTAATATTTTACAGAATATATATGAAGTTTCTGGTTGTTGCACAATCAGTTGTTAGGTCGTGCCCTGGTTTTTGTTCTTCTTTAAGATTTGGTTTTTATTCTTTTACTCTTTTATTCTTTTATTTTTTATTTGCTCGTGATCGCGCCCTGTCGGCCCGGCTCTTTATGCTTCAACATCGTTTAACTTTTACTTAATGCCAATCAACCTCAAATTCTAAGCGTTCTTTTTAGTTTTTCTCTACAGCGTAAATGTTATTGGTAGCTCTCCTAGTGGTAGAATAGCGTAGCTCCTTCCCTTTGTAGTTTCATAATTCGTTTACCATTTTTTGGGGCTCTGGGTTGGGGTTGGAGTTGGGACTGGGATTGGGGCTGGTGTTGTGATTCGGAATCGGGGATTGGCTTGGGATCGGGCTGGTTAGTAAGGGTGTGGTGTGGTGTGGTGTGGTGTGAGGGATATACATAATCTTACTAAGTTTGTGAAGGGAAATACAATTTTGCAGCTGGTTTTTTCTGGTGTTGATTTAACATTTAACAAACATTCAAAAATTGTGCAGTGTGCAGTTTAAGTTGTACTAATAACAGGGATATCTCGGCAGTGCTGTCAAGTCGATCGGATGATCGCTCAAAGAGGGGCACAGAATGTATGGATGCTTTATAAGTTTCCTTCAATCTCATCCATTCTTTTCGATCAACTCTACAACACTGCAGGAATATTGTTTGATATTTTGGATAAATTTCAAAATTTTTTTGTATGCGCTTCTCTGGCTAAGTTTTTCGAGTGGGTGTCAGTGTGCTGTGTTCGTGTGAGTTTGTGTGTGTGTGTGGTTATGGGCGTGGCCTCTGCTTGTGGGTATCTTGTCTTGAATATATTTACTTTTGTTAATTTTTACATGACTTGCGATTTAGCTTTAAGATTATCTTTAATTTTTACAAATTATCTTTTGCTTAGGTGGGCTCTTATTTGTTTGTTCTTGAGTGTTTTGTGGCTGTGAATTATATATTGCTGCTTGAATTCTATAAAAAATTTGGCAATATGCATGCGTATGCGTATGTGTGTTCAGTGTGTGTGTGAATACTAGTGCTTATGTGTGTGTTCAGTGTGTGTGTCTGCTGGTGTCCGTGAGAGTGTAACAAAAGCTTTTTTGTGGCTTATTCTTTTTACATTTACAGTGTCTTCGGCTGTTTTTCATTTCCTAATTTGTTTCTCTGCATCGTCTTCTTTTTGCTTACTGCTTAGTGGATTCTTTAGATACGTTAATTGTTATTATTTTTGGTTTTCTTTTTAACATTTGTAAGCTCTTGGTTTTCTTAATGTATGCCATATTTTGCTGTTGCATTCTCTTCTGGGGGCTGTTCTGTTTTGTCTGTAGGTTTCCCTTCGAACAACTTCTCCTACAGTAATATCGTGGAAATAAACTCTTTTCTGCCAGTTTATCAGTTTAAACATAATGCCCGTAATGTCTAACCATTTAAACTACTTTGCTCGATTGTTAATCAATAGTAATAATAATCATACAATAATATGTTTACACAGATTTACACATTTCGACTAGCGCGTGGTACGTGGTACGTGGTTCGAGAGAGTTTCGTCTTAGGATTTCTAGGTTATGTTCTGCTCGGTTCTGGTTAGGTTCTTGACTGGTTAATCTAGTTTGGGGATCGGTTGGTTTTTTTTGTTGATTTCTACTTGCTGCCTCGGGGGTGGGGGCAGGCCATATAATTGTTTTGGGGACTTAAATAGGAGGCTAGTGGAGTGAGTGGAGAAAGCAAGGGAGATGCTCTGGGCTTTTATCGGTATTTTTTTGTATATTTGATTTTTTTCTGTCTTTTTTCTTTGGCAGTGTTGAAATTTTACTTTTGATATTTGTTAAAATAAAAAATAAAATAATATAAAAAACAATTATATGGAATATTCAAAGGTTGGATTTACTCAAAAGTTTTCAACCCAAAATGTTGGTCTTCATTCGGGATATTTTTTGTATTTTTTTTTTAGAGCATCTCTTTAGCTACAAAAAAACAACACGACATGGAAATTCTCTATGGGAATAGCTGGGGAAGGTGGGACTGGTGGTGTTGTGACTGGGGCTGGGTGAGAGGCTCATTGCAACAACATTTAATTAAAAATGTATTCTATATTCCACATATACGTTTACAGCATTTTCCAGGGGATAAAAGTATACACATGTACGTAACCAAATTTGTATCTCTTGTCAAGCGCGTTTTGTTCAGTGTAGTAGGAGGCGTGCATGAGGGGCGGGGGGAGAGACTCTGTTCTGTTTGGGTCGGAATTAGTTAGCACAATTAAACTGTTGACTGGTTGAATTGCTGTTCTTTAGTTTGAAATAATGTTCCCAAAAACTTGTTGCTCCAATTGCATTTTTCAGTTTCGACTTTTTTTTTACTGGTAAACGGAATTATTATGAGATTTGTAGCTGTTGCTGCTGCTGCTGTAGCGCTGATGCTGCTGCTGCTGTTGTTGTTGCTGTTGCTGCTGCTGTGATGATTGCTGATGGGAATGATGGGGGTTGTGGTGGTGGTGCTGCTGCTGCTGTAGGTCGTGGTGGTCACGATGGCGGTGTTCGTGGAGGTGTTGTTCGTGTCCTTGGTATTCACGCTCACGTTGCTCGCGCAGTTCACGCTGATCGCGAAGCTGTCGACGTTGTTGGTGTTGCTTCTGCTCGCGTGTGGGCGTTGCATGCTGCTGCTCTCGCTGCTGCTCTCGCTGCTGCTCTCGCTGCTGTTCTCGCTGCTGTTCTCGCTGCTGCTCGCGCTGCTGTTCCCGTGTTGGTGTTGCCTCACGCGAAGCTTTCGTTGGTGTGTTGGTGTTCAGTTGTTGGTGAGTTTTGGCCGCAGTTGTTGCTGCCGTTGGTGGCTGTGTGGTTTGTGTGGTCTTTGTTGTCTGTGTCGTTTGTGTCGTCTGAGTCGTTTGTGTTGTGTTTGTGGTGGGAGGAGTGTTGGGATGATACTGATGGGGATGCTGATGATTGTTGAGCGCAGTCTGACTGCCGTACAGGCTGTTGCTGTTGTTGCTGCTGATGTTGTTGTGTAGCTCATGAGGCAGTGGCGGTGGATTCTTGGCTCTTGTTAGCGGTATTGGTGTTGGCATTGGTTTTGGCGTCTCCGTTAAATCGATGCCCCATTCGTAGAGGAACTCGAGTTTTTGTCGTTCCAATGGGTCACTGGCCGGCAGGGCAAGCAAATGTTAGGCTTCTAAAAATATCAACGCTGTTGGCTTCGGTTCCAAATTTGATTTCTTTGCTTCGACAACTAAGAAGGTTATTTCAGCCTTTTCACGATTAGCAAAGCACTCGGCTATCAGTCGAGCAACCTCCTGGAATATCATCAAGCAATGTTACCCAATTCGAGAACTTGAAGTGAACTGTTTTAAATATATCTTACCTGATGATGTAGACCCTCAACCTTTGTTCCATCTACCTCCAGTATCAGTTGCCCGACCTCCAGGCCGCCCGCTTCAAATGCTGCACCGTTTTCCTGTCACAAGATCGATTGGCCATGGATTCATATATATTTTGGAAGGGGTGAATCGGTATGTTATACTCACATGGATATTGATTATCCTAGGGAGCGGGTGTTTTGTATTAGCACCACCTTCGATAGCAATACCTAAAATTGGTTTGGTTTTCTTAACTGTAATGTGTAAGTTGCCTCTATGATCAGGTACGACGTTTGGATTGTGTTCATGTGTTTGTTCAGTCGTTGAACCACCATTCTGCTCAGCGGACAGACGCTGCATGGACTGCAAAAGAGACAAAAGTCACACAAAAGGCAATTCAAATTGCATTAATATAGATATCTTATATATGTACATGTGTATATCGAGGATTTATCATTTGAGTAGCTCTATATTGGTGGCTGGAAAAAGGAAACCAAGGCTATGGTGACCAACTTGAACTACTGCTTAGATTATCTAGGAACTCTAGTTCAAATCGTGTCTGGATCTTAAGAAAAGTAGAAGCTAGCTAAAGTAGATTTTGTGTGGGAATCGCAAGCAAAGAGATACATATGTAAGTATTTTCTGGAATGTTTGGTATACTGTTTGGTATTTTGTGTAGGACAAACAAAAGGTAACGGTTCAATTCAAGCTAAGTTTGAGGCCAATTCAAGTTTACAAAGATTACTAGTTTAATATTATATAATTAAATGGCATAATTGTAGTTTCTTTTTGAGAAAGGTAAAGTAAAGAGAGAGAGAGAGATAGAGAGAGAGAAAAAGGAGAGATTTTTGTGTGTGTTTTGTTTTGGAATGAGTCATGAAATGCTTGAGGCGATCAAATTGTATTCAATTTAGCTGGTGTGGGGGAGGAGAGCAGAAAATACTGACAAAAATACTGAAAATACGGAAAATACTGAAAATACCGAAAATACTGATAATATTGTACTTGGAGAATTGGAGGAGAATTTTTAGGAACCGCATTTCAGTTTTGTTTTCTGATTCATTTTTAGTTTTTGTTTGTAGTAGTAGTTGGCATTCATGTGCTTTCGTATAACTGGTATTTATTTCGTTAGATAGTATCTGGTATTTTAGTGTGCTTGCACTAGAGTTGTAGCTGTTGTTGTAGCACTCACCTGATGCCTTCGTACACCTTTATCGCCCAGCAATGTGCCGCCTTCTTCCTTCATATCGAAACTCCTTGAGAGTTTTGTGGCCAACTCCTAATTTTTTTTTTTTTTTTTTATTTTGCATTTGCAATTTTTCAGATAAGGCCACATTTTTCATTGACAAAGATTTGTTGTTTTTTTGTTGCACAGTGAGCAAATTGATCAGATTGTTTGATTGATTTTTGGTTGTACAATAAATTGGTTGAATGTAAAATGAAAATAGTAGAAATATTTTGCATAAGAATTGGTTGTAGTTGGTTTGTAGAAGAGATAATTATTTGCTTTATGTGTTATGTGGCTAGACATACATATTTATATATGAAGTTCTTGATTTTGCCTTTTTTCAAATTGTTTGCTATGTGTTTTGCTTCTCGTTCACTTGCAAACATACAGATAGAAACTTAATTGAATAAAGTATGACATTTCACTGTACGGCAGGACAGAGTAAAGTTGAGTAGTGGTTCAGGTCGGGAGGAGGATGTTGTGTTTGTGGTAGGACAGAGCACTGGGGACAGAGTACAGAGTACTATATATGCCAAAGCGTGCCTTGGAGAGAGAAAAAGTTGGAGTTGTGTATCGATTGGCATTCAAAGTGGATTGAGCTGAGCTGATTTGCCTTCCACTGACGAGCTTTGATTTCTGCATTCGATTTGTCTTTCCCTTTTTTTCTTTTTCCTTTATTTTTATTTGGAACCTTTTACGATATTGGATTAGTCTTTTGACAGAAGCATGGCTTTAGTTTTCGTATGCAGAGTTGCTAGAGAATGAAATGTATGAAAAATCATGTGGATAAATATCCGAATATTCACCCTTTTGGGCATTTGGACAGGGAAAGAAGAATGGTAAACTCTTTCCAATTTCATTGATGTGATACCTAAATTCACATACATAAAGAGCTGGTCCAGAATCCAGAGTCCGGAGGACTCCAGACAAGGTATACTTGGAGAGAGAGAGAGAGTTTCTCTTCGGAAATCAATTTAAAAGAACAATCGTTCGTACGTCACGTGACACCAAAATCTCGGGACTCGGGATTAGGTTCTTCTGAAAATTGGGTCTCTGGTGCAAGTTATGAGTATGCGAGAGTGCTGCTGTTCGTGTGTCCAAGGATCTGTTTTTGTTTATGTTTATGTTTGTGTTTCTGTCTGCGGATACGACTGTGTGTGTGTGTGTGTGTGGGTGGGTGTGTGTTTGTGTTTTGGTGCACTTTAAGGCTTGGCAGCTATACAATTGTGTATTGATAAGTACTTGATACAAAAACGACTTGCAAAATTGGCAGCTAAGACACTTAGATTTTGATGGCTACACTAATTGGGCTAAGAGTTTCCATTGGTGGGAGCAAAGCGCTAACTAAAGCTTCAAGAACTTTCAACTTACATACGAATATTTGGCAGTATGTTACAGGTCTAGGAATTTGCTAACTACAACTAGGAAAGAGTGCTGTGTGTGTGTGTGTGTGTGTGTGTGTGTGTGTTGTGTATGTGTTGTGTGTGTGTGTGTGTGTGGGGCAGCAGCAGCTAAAAGTAAGGCCAAAACAAATGGGGGAGTTGTTGTACACTAATTACAGGGCAAAGGAAAAAAAAATTACCGAAAGAATACTACGGAAAACATTATGTGTGAAGGGTGATTCGGTGGACCAAGACCAAGACCAAGACCAAGACTCGGAGGATTGATCTCGATTTGATTTGATTCGATATCGGTGTACGACTTGGCGTGTGTTTTTAGAAATCAGGGTGACTCATGCGTAAATGTGCAAATGTATTTTTCAAGCTTTTTTTTCTGGTTTATTAATTTGACATTTCGTTTTTCCGGTTTGGGTTTTCGGTTATTGGTTTTCGGCCATTTAAATTGCATTTGTGGACTCTTGGCTTCGATTTAGTTTCGTGTCTAGTTTAGCTTTTTGGTTTTTAGGTACTTACATTGACAGTTATGTATATCATGTACTTTACAAAGAGACTAAGGAACTCTAGATGAAAGATTTGTAGAGTGCATCACGATTGGTATCAAATTAAAGATGGAACAAATGGAAAATAATACGTACATACATATTGGAGTGGAGTGGAGTGGAGTGGATTGACTGACTGACTGTCTGATGGTGGGTGGTGGGTGGTTAGGTGGGGCAAGCAAAACTTCGATTTTAATTTTTTTTAGTGAGAGAACACAAAACGGAAACACAATTCCTACGAATACAACACAAAATTCTGGAAATGCAGTTTAATTTAAATTGTAATTTTTTAGTAGTACTTTTTTATTGCACTTGTTTTTGTTGTGGTGGTGGTTGTTGCAATGCACATACAAAACAGTTAGGTTTGGTTGGTTAGTTAGTTAGTTAGTTAGTTTAAAGAGAGAGACAGTGACAGAGTTACAGAATAGAGATAGATTTAGAGAGTTAGAGAGAGAGAGAGAGAGCGAGTAGGTGAGAGAGTGATAGCAACAATCTAAGTTCAGGCTAAATTGAATGCAACGAGAAGATGCAGATCGAAAAACAAAATGCAGACTGTGAGAGAACATTTGGCAGACACATTTTCCACTCAAGTTTCGAGCACAATTTTCAGTTTTGTGGTTGCTGGTGTTTGCTATTTTTTTTTTTATTTATGATTAGGTTTGTTTTGTTTTGTTTGGTTTTTTGTGGTGGTTTTCGTTTAACAGTTAACGAAAAATACATTGGCACTTACTAGAGGTCGTCCCCAATACCATGATTTGACACGTTGTGTTAAACCACCCAAATGTGAACGTAGTCCATCTAAGTAGCCGCCCTGAAATGCACACAAATGAACAAACGAGAACAATTTCGGGGGAGTACGGGGCAAACAAAGAAACGAATCCAACTCAAGAAACACAGGAAAAACAAGATCTGGTGGGGTCTATGGATCTGATGGACGGAAACGAAAAGTGAGAGTGCCGCGTGAAATGAGAGGCTCTAGGGGAAATTATGAAACGAAAAATCAGTGTGTTCTAAGTATACGAGTACGAGTACAACTCAAAAGTAAGACAGAGAGACAGATAGACAGAGAGAGAGAGAGAGAGAGAGAGAGAAGGATTTTGTGGGTCTTTGTGGGGTTCCTAGTGGGTTGTTACAGATTGTATGTTCAATAGCTATCTATTCAAGCTACATTCCAATTGTTTACTGGATACACGCGATGATAAAAGTACATAACTCTACGGGCTATTAAGAGTGGTCTTTTTAGTTGGTTTTACCGAATGGTTTCATAAGTTTTACTATAGAAATGTTAACTCCTAAATATATTGTATATTCAAGAAATGTTATCATATATTTAGATGGTCGGTTATATAGAATTATGTAGTTTTGTTTTACATCTACCAAAAATGGATTGCTACTCCAGGAATATATATTATTCTATCCCTTTGTGTCATGTTGTTTCCAATGGGTGCTACTCGAGGGTCTATCTTTACGTACTAAAGCTCAAATATAGTACCTAACTAAAGGAATAGGTTTTCTATATTTTAAATGGATTTTAAATTCATTATATATACTATTTCCGTTGAGTTATAAATGTGTTTTTCTTATATGCGAATCTTTTTATTGTACTCTGCAACATTTCAGTGTAGCTGGCAATAAATGTTCCTATGCCATGCTGCATACTTTCAGGCAACATGTCACACTCATGTAGAATTCATGTAGAATTGCCAATCCTGATCTGCATCGTAAGCCGAATAATCCGCTGGCCTAACTTGTTGTATATTTCGTATGTATGTATGTTTATCTCAATTTTGTCCCCAATCTAATCTCATTTTCAAAGGCTGTATTTTCACTGGAATCACTCCATCCAGCTATTGCATCTGTTAGGTATCCAGCATACCCTTCCTTTTGGAACCAATCACAATCTCAATGTCTGTACTCCTTGGACTAGATGATGATTGGATTGGGTTTGGCCTTGGCTTAGCCTGGATGGGATCACATAGCTATTCGATGAGTGTCTATGGCACGTACACGTACAGTGTTAAACAGTGATCGACACCAATACAACAACGTTTTTCCACACACTGGTGCCTGGGATAAAATCTCGTTCGGTAGTCACTGCCTGGACTGAGATTATTCCTTCTGCAAGTACTAAAACGCGTGTGCACACGCGTTAATTTGCTAATTAGCTTTGACTGCGGCTGTCAAAACTGTGTGCGGTAATCTCCTCAAAAGCTTCATGTGGCACGTAACCATCCCCCAGAGGCCACCCCTCATCGGCCCACTTGCATTTGGAAATTATGCACACGCTACAGCCAGCAACGAAATTAGTTGGAGTCAAAACTTGGCTCAAAACGAGTAGCAGCGGGCTTAGAGTATTTACAAGAGTTTTCTGTTCGTTTTTTTTCTTTTTTTTTTTGTTTTTTTGGTTAGCTACAATTGCTTCCTTATTGGGGTTTTCTTTTGTTATGTTATGTTATGTTATGGTTTGTAGGTGTCTTTGTGTGTGTATGTGTATGCTTTGGGTTTTGTTTTGTGTGTGTGTGTGTGTGTGTTTGTGTGGAAAAGATAGTTTCGAAAAAGTGCTTAAAGTGTAACAAACGACGAATTCAGCGAGCAGCCAACGAACGCCAATTGCTTACCTGTTCCTGTTTCCCAATCATCCAGCCGTACCGATTCGATCCGATTCGATTGCGCATACGCAGCGTATGACCAGGGGAGCAATGTAGAGTAAGAGAGAGAGAGAAGAAGAAATTCCAGAAGAGACAAATTAATTATCACATCGTCACATTAAATGAACATCATCTCTTTTCAATGCCAAATGCAAACGCCTCTCCGGCCATCAGACAAAGTTTTCTGTTTGCGTCATGCCAGAGCAAAGCAAAAACCAAACAAAAGACCAGAAAAAACAAAAACGGAATAAACGGAAAACACGGAAAATGGAAAACAGCAGCACAGCTGCAGTGGCCGTCAGCTGCAGTTACACAGTATCCCGCAGATACAGAGATACATTTTACAAGCACTTACGAGTATCTGTCACCCCAGTGCTGACCGTTGCGTAAAGCTTACAATTCCATACTTCACAGCTAGTAAATCTTAGATATAATTGCAGTACAGTATAATTTTTAGCCATAAATATTGGCAATCTTTGTGTATCAAGTGGCTTTGTTGTCGTCGCTGTGGGTAATTTCTTACATTACTAGGCCATAAAAAAACTAACTTGGAAAACGCTCGTTCAGTGGCCCGACCGACATCAAAGAAAGCAAAACCCAACCAACGCCACAAAAAACCAAACAAAACACAAGATGAAATGGGAGTTTTCCCTGAAGACAACCAGTGGATACTCTTTGAAGTTCAAGGAATACCTACTCTTAGATACTTATTTACCTGAAAAGATACTGATCCAAAACTTAGACTAGGCTTCACTCGACCATTCCCTGTATCCGTTGTGGGATTCTTACAACATCCCAATACCTTTTGCCTTTTCGTAGGCAAACCCAACGCGAACTCTGTACAACTCTCTCTGAGATAGAGCAGCAATGCCGCCGCTGCTTCTGTTGTCGCTGTCTGCTGTGGCTGTGGCTGTGACTGGCTTTTGGCAGCAGCAGCAGCAACAGCAACCACTCCAGCCACAGCTCCAGCTCCAGCTCCAGCTCCAGCCACAGCTCTACCTTCAGCAAAGTCTGCAGTTTCAGTCGCGCGTCGTCGCTCCAAGCGTGAGGTTCGAGCCCAGAGAAGAATACCGAGCTTAGTAGATCGAAAAGCGGACCGAAGCTAACCAGCAAACAAAGTGCGTATTACGAGGTTTCAATTGAACACACACAAACAAGTTGACAAATCTCGCGTTTCGTTACATTTCGCGCTCTGTTTGCGGCCAAATTGTTGCATAAATACGAGTAATGCCAGCAGAAGTCGTCCCTGATTTGCCCCCTTCAGATACGATACGATGCGATACGGTGCCCTGTCCTCCGCTTCCCTGCCTTGCCATGGGTTATATCATCATCGGCCGTCTGTTTGGGGTACTGGAACTGTGGCAACAACAATTGCTGCAGAGCCCCACATGTCGGACATGTGTCGGCAGCTTTATTTCTTTGCATTTTGCATTCAATTAACTTGTGTTTCTCACCTTTTTGTTTTTGTTTTTGTTTTTGGCTGCGCTAATTTCCTTGCTTGCTGTTTTATGTTTTTAATTGCCCAAGAAGAGCCGGAGCCGGAGATGGAGACGGAGTCGGAGTCGGAGCCGGAGTCGAGTTTCAGTTGATTTGTTGACTGACTGACTGACTGACTTCTCTTTGTCTGGTCTGGTCTGTTCTGGCCCGGTCTGGTCTGATCTGTCTTTCTTTTTCGTAATTAAGTTGCTGACGGAAATGGGGGGTTCTAAGTGGCAGGGCAGCTGAATAGTTGCTAAACATTCCGACCCAGAAAGGCCATTGGCCATTGGCCATTGGATAGCCAGCGGAAAGGAAGGAAAGCCGAAGGCTCGAAAGAAAACTACATAAAAGTACAGTTTTAATGGACAATGAAGGGAATTGAAAGCCGTAAAAGTAATTGCCATTGGAAAGACATCAAATGGAACTGAAATTTCCGTAAATATTTACAACCTGAACCCAAACAGCTTCCAATTAACCAACCTGACCTAATTCTCATCAGATCCAATCTGATCGGCATAGTCTTGGCCATATTGATCAATTATATTCGTCCAGCCAGTCAGCTGTCAGCTTATTATTTGTGGGTCAACGAGCGCTGGCCCGAAATGTGAACAAAATTATTCATAGACACACTGTCACAACACAAAGCCCGGCCAACACCGACATCTCAGAGATCTGACTTCATCACAGCCAGAGCCAAAGCCACAGCCAGAGCCATAGCCATAGCCATAGCCAGAGCTACAGTCAGAGTCACAACAATAGTGTGAATTAGAGAACAAATTAAATGCTCACCTTTTGTTTGACTTTGGAAAAGTTTAAAAAGGTTCAGACGAGCACAGAACCCAGGGAAAAAGTTTCACCAGAACCAAAAGGAACAACTCCAAGTCCAACTCCAACCCCAACTGCGACTCCAGCTCCAAACTCGAACTCTGAAACCGGGAAGCACAACTTTCACAAACAAAAAGACTGAAACGAGTACAACAAAGAAAGAGAATTTTCCGAAGAATAAAGAAAAGAAAACTTCCAGTCAATTGTCTGCTGCCAGCCCATTTAACTGTATTTTTCCCTACGCACTTCATCTTTGTACCATTTTGTTCCCCTCGAAATTCCTCAAATTTTTCAATCAGTTTTCTTTTTTCTTTTTTTTTTGCTGTAAGCTGCTCGGGCGACCGTTTCAAAATCAATCAAATTTATGACTTTGCAAAGTTTTGCAGTCAAGTTTTTGTCTCGTTGCTGGCTGGCTCTAGCCATCGCTGAATTTTGTGTAACTTGAATCGAAAAGCTGGCAATCATCATTCATGGCACATGCCATTGACCTCGTTGCGTGGCAGTTGGGGGATTGCGGTGGGATCACGGGGGCAACACTCTGTCATTAGATACGCATTCAAGCGGTGAGGGGAGGAGATTTGCAGACTGGTCCACCACATCGATGCCGCTCGTTGCCCAATGTATTTCGATCCCAAAAGCGGGATTTCATTAATGCTACTACAAGGTCGAACAAATTAAATACAAAATCAATGAAATTCCCATCAACATTTTACATTTACAAATTGTCATCAGAAAAACACAGCGAATGGGGCAGAAACTCGAACCAGCAACACACACACACAGTGCAAATATCCATCAATCAATCAATCAATCATTTTTTGCGTAAATTAATTTCAATAACAAATAAATACGATATCCATGCGATACTTTCCCATAAAAGGCTTTGGACTTTGTCGTTCCATGGGTGATTCTGTTGCTGCCCAAAACCCAAAACTTCTTTCGTCTAGACTCTGGAGTGAGAGACCCCCACTGGGGCCCCCCATCACAGATCACAGATCACAGATCACAGGTTGCAGATAATTAATGATGTCAAGAGATGACAAGCCAAAGAGTGTTCGTCATAACGGTTAACCAACTTTAAAGAACAGGCCCCTCTGCTGTGCTCTTTAGCCACAATTAGGGCTCTCCCTATCGATGGTATCGGAGGGGGGAGGGCGGTAAAGTCTAACAACAAACAAGTCTTCCATCGGCGAGTCTTCAATCTCCATCTCATAATTACATTTTACACTCATTGAATTTGTGGACCGACCGGATTTCGGTTTGTCTTTCGTTTCTTTGCTACGCATCCAAATGCTTTATTTACATTATAAACAACTTTTTCTATCTCCCCCTCTGCCTGCCCCCCCTCTCTCTCTCTCTATCTCCATCCCTTTCTGGTGGCAACAATTTACTTTCCATTTATGTTTGCTCTTGACAAAGTTTTGTACCTTATTTAGTACATTTCTCTAATGACCCACTTTGAGTTTTTGGTCTCGTCTGCTCTCCCTGCCTCTCTCTCTCTCTGTCTCTCTCCCTGTCTCTCTTTCTTTGCCCCCAACTTACTCTGTAATTTCGAAACAAGAAAGAAAATCTTGTTGCGTGGACCGAAGCTGGTGGATACCCTTTGAAGATGGACAGAACCTACGGCAGCTGGCTTCGATATCTATACATGTAGAACTGTCTATCTTCGACCGATAACCTCTAAAGAAGCTATATGATATTGCGATCTTGTGGGGATTCATCTGATCAGAAATCGTAGTACCCTGCCCCCAATCAAGGGTATACAAAGTGAGTGTCCCATAAGCCAGACCAGACCAAGAGACAAACACAAGACACAGTAAACAGCTACAACAAAAAGTTGTTTGTCAGTTGTAGTTGAAATCAAACTGGTTACTCGATGCTGCCTGTCCGCCGGTCCGTGTCTGGACCCGTTCATCGGCCATCGTTCATCGGCTTTGGTCAAGCCGGGCCCAAATGGTGTCAGCTGTGTAAACAGGGCTAAGCAAGCGGATCGCCAGCAGTTTAGCTCCTCATTTGGCCCCTTCTTTGCCTGTTTCCCCCATTTCCCCTTTTTCTGTTGCAGTCCGAATCAATTTCAAGCCAAGCCAAATGAAAATCCTGCCCTGAACTTGACGATGCATGTGATACGGTTGAACGCCTTTTGCGGAAATTATTGCAATTTTCTTGTCTTCTAGCCAACACACACGCACACATCTTAAGCAGCGTGGAGTGGGGTGTGGCGTGGTGAGTGTGGCGGGCACTGTGAAAATGGGGAGGGGTTGTGGTAAGTGTGCTTTCACTTTTGCTGCACTCAACAAGCTGCAGAGGAGGAGCAGCAGCAGCAACAGCAGCAGCAGCTGAAGGAGCGGCGCTGACGAAACAAACACCACTCGAGGAAGTTCGCTCAAAGGGGGGGAACCATTCATTAGAACTTTGAAAGGGCTGGGATCTCGGATCTGGGAGCTGGGAGCTGGATCCTGGGGCTTCAACCAGGACTCTTTTGGGTAGTATTTAAGTGTGGCCTCAAATCTGCACTCAACAGCAAGTTCCATCGAAAGAGTACTTGGTAATCGCATGAGTCTTAGGTGGCTAGGAGTTCGCTCTCTTCTTGAGTGTAATTTCTACTGTAAACTTCCGAATATTGTATGCACTCCAAAGCCGAAAGTTCACTGAAGGATTTCCCCAAGCTTAGCCCTCAGCCCATAATCGCATGGATTCCTTCTCTTTGCTAAACGCTTTTCGCCACCCCCCTCTACCTCTAGCTGGTCATTAGACTGAGTTTTCCAGCCGACTGGCATTGGCAAACAAAACACTCAAACAGTGTCCACTTCCACATTGATTGCAACTTGGTTAAACAACAACAAATCATTTAAACAAATCAAACCCCAACAGGCGGACAGGACAGGACAGGACAGGACACGACAGCAGACGAGGCACCCGAAGAGGAAGGAAGGGCCAACATGGAGACCTATCTGACGGAGATCAAACAATTGCGCATACCACGCCCGAAATTCGAGCCCAACAGTTGCCACCAGCAACACCAACATGCGGTGGCAGGCGGCACATCGACAAGCTCCAGCACCACCTCCAACACGCCCACGCCCCCCCATCATCATCAGCGGCCGTGGCGACACTTTGTGCGACCCTTTACGCCGCCGCGTGATTACCATCTGCCCATGGTGGCCGGTGGAGGAGGAGGCGGAGGCGGTGGAGGAGCATGGTCCGTCGAGGAGGCCTCCATGCACGACAAGATCTGAGGAGGAGAAGCAGGCGGAGGCGGAGAAGGAGTAGCGGCAGGGAGCGGTCTGCGGTCTGTTTGACCTGGCATCGAATTGCTTACACTTATTGGCTATATGCACATGCTACATACATATATATATCTTTTTTTTGCTATATATACGATACATACATACTTATAATTGCATAATTTAGTGATTCAGTTTAGTGTTTAGTTAGTTTTAGATACCATAAATATACAATATAGATGCAAAGAATAAAGTATACAAAAAGTTGTAGAGTTTGGCTTGAGGGTGTCTTAAATGTCTGGGTTAAGGCAAGAGTACAAGTACGAGTATATTGGATAGATTGTATAGATTGTATAAGATAAGGTAGCATAGGGAGGTGTGCTGATACAATGGTGTGTTTCATTATGGGATGAAGTTGAGACAACCATCCAAAGTATGAGAGATGTCTTGAGGATAGATATGACCTGGAAGATGAATGAAATCTCAGGAAGCTACATCCCTCCCTTGATGATCACCAGAATGCGATGACCTTTAGCGATCTACTTAAATCTTTTGCAGTTCTCTGGATCCCTACAGAATACGCTCCAATCGCTTCGCTTACTCACCGTATCTTGTTCGTATTCCGGTAATAGGGTTTCGCTTCCACGGCGAGCTCTAGTTCTATGCTCATCACAGCCGTATTCCTAGCCGGGACGAAAGAATTTACAAAAATATTTTTCAGCTTCTGGTATGCTTTTTTTTTTGTTTGTTTGTTTTTGGTGACTCAAGATTATACTTTAGAGTAGAGTACTTTTACAACAATTAACAGCCAATTGGACAACATTTAAGAAAGGAAGAGAAACATAGCCGGAAACAGAGAACGCTTCAACATAAACCACATTAAACAGAGTATGAAAAAAACAACAACAAAAAAGATACACCAGACGGGACACACAAAGACACAAAGACACACAATACACAGAAGGATAAATAGAACAGATTAAACAGATTAAACAGACAGACAGAAGAGAAAGAGAACTGAAACCCTTAAAAACGCGCCGATCTTTTGGGCCCGAATGTCAATTTTGCATACCCCATTTCGGGGGGTATTAGAATTTTGTAGCTGCATTAGATGTTTACACACATATAATGGGAATCGAGCTTAGGGAAAGTATTAGACAAAAATGAAATAAACAATAAGGGAGACAAGTTCTGAAGAAAACTACAGAATATTTTCATAAATACTTATAGAAATGGTTCGAAAGACTTTTATGCTCGGAAATTTTTGCACAAAGAATTTTTGTCGGTGGGAAACTTCTAGTAGAAAGCACAGAGTTTCCCACAATAGTGAAAGTAATCGAAGAGTGAGTGAGTGAGTGAGTGAGTGAGTGGGGGAGGGCTAGCTATTGTACGAGTATGTAGGTTTTTGGCTTGGTTTGCTACACTTTTTGTTTGGGTTCACGTTCGCACGCTTCATTCCTGACCTGTTGCTGATTGTCTTTGGTTTGCTTGAATTGCAACTGATTTGGTCCCAACTGTTCGTGAGGATGATGATGACGCACAGGCACAGATCCCACGTTGCCGCTGCTGATGCTGTTGATGTTGATGCCACCCAGATGACGCAATGAGGCATGATGAGGTGGATAATGTTGCTGTTGCTGATGCTGATGCTGTTGCTGTTTCTGATGCTTTAGCTGCTGTTGTTGTTGCTGTTGTTGTTGCTGTTGTTGCTGTTGTTGCTGTTGTTGTTGTTGTTGTTGGGGTGGTGGTGGTGGCGATAATGATGATGAAGATTGGTTACTTGCTGTCTGATAATGTGATGCTGGCTGTGCGCGATGCAGTATTGGTCCCGCCGACATGGGCCGATATGGCAACTGGATTGCGGGTCTAATTCATATACACATATACATATACATATATACATCATATATAATATACGATATGTCAGTTAACAGTTACTGATGGGGCTGTAGTGTGGGGTAGTGGGTGGGGGGAGTGGTTAGGGAGTGGGGAGGTGGCGAGGTGGCGATGGAGGACAAGTGGAATGGTCAGACTGGAGTTATTTTCAAGGTACCGTTTGTGTATATCCGTTACGGTCATGCCCAGTCCCGAGTCCGATGAGGGACTACGTCCGGTGGCGGCTATAATCTCCAAATCGTCAGCTGTTACCTGTTGGGGGAACGGAACGGAACGAACGTAATGGAACGGAATGGAACGAAACGAACGATTTGGTGTTTTGCATACGATTTCAGAGAGCGAGTGACACAGTGAGGAGAGGCAGTGACAGATTTGACAGATTTTATAGATTTGACAGTTTTGATAGATTGAGTGAGTGAGTGGAGAGTGAGGAGTGGTGGAGTTGTGGAGTGAAGCTGGGTTCTAGTACAAAGCTTTTGTTGAGTTCTGTTCTACTGAGGATAGTCAGAGATAGAGACAGATCGAGAGAGTGTCTTAGAGCGACAGAGAAAGAGGGAGAGAGAGGAAGAGAGAGTGGGAGTGCTTCTCTTGATATTTAGCCATATAGAATATATAGTATATTTATATTTATATTTATATTGATATGTGGGGTGCTTCATCTGTTCGACTGTTTAGGTGTTCTGTCAGGTGCATTTTTCTTGTGGGATTACATAGAATATTTTGTTGTTTGTTATTTTACAGTATTATTTTTAATGCTTATAGAACTATAGATAACGAGTGGAGCACATCCACATACCCCCAAAGGCAATTTGTTTTGTTGTGGAAATTGCTTTGCCTCGATCAAATTTTTTGTTGCTATTTACATCTAAGGATTCATACCCTGTTTTGGAGGCAACTGTACTTGTACTTATACTTAGAGGCGTGGTTTTCTTGTAAAAATTGACATTCGTTTTCGTTTCATTTCTGTTCTGATTGTTTTCGTGTGGATTTAGCAAGGGGCCGAATCAGAGAGGTAAGCGAATAAGAAATTTTTGAAAGAAAACTGTCACAACTGAACCGGAAAGAAAGAGGAGTACGAGTACGAGTAAGATAATAACATGCAGCTTTTTGTGGAAATTAAATGAAATGAAGCATTAACAGGTTTTTGTTTCGAGTTTCAAGGGCTAGTTTAGTTTCGGGCTAAACACAGCTATTAAGTGGATACGGATCTCGTTCATTAATTAAACTACAAGTTTCGTTTTGGTTTTGGTTTTGTCCAGTGTTATTTATGTATTTAGTCTACAGATAAATCGTTTAAAGTTAAAGTAAAAGTTACAAACATACAACAATCAACAATCAACAACGACAACAACAAGAGAAAGATTTACTAAATAATAACAACATCTCGTTGGAGAGAGTAGACATATGTCTACTATATATATATATAGTGGTAGACAGTACACAGTAGACGGCTGTTAGATCTGCACACTTTTGCCTGAACATGCTCAGTGTGTGTGTGTGTGTGGTGTGTGGCGTGTGGCGTGTGGGTGTGAGGCGAGAGACGGGACGGGGTCTCTCTGATCTAAGTATATATTGTGTCTGTGTCGTAGAATAAATCTTCTAAAAAGCTTACCGGCAAATCACGGGCGGGGTCTCCCTTACGCTATAAAAGATTAAACGGAAGAGGCGTTAAACACATGCGTTTAATTACAAAGTTAGAGGCAGGTCTACGGTCTATGGTCTATGGTCTATGGTGACGGTCACTCACCCGATGCCTGTCCACGCTATAAGGATCGCGTTCCCGGCGATAGACGAGCTCATCGTATCGCGTGCGATCCTCGGGGAACACGAGTTCTCGGATCTCCGTCACTAGCGTGTGCTGGTAGGGGTATAACAATCAGATAAATGCAATAAATGGATGAGCCTTCCAGAGCATACCTTTTCGTACGTATCTAACATCTCTAGTAAGACGGCAACAAAGGCATCTATGGTCATTGCTTTCCCACTATACTCTGCAATATAGTAGGAGAGGCTTGCAAAGTGATGACGGGGCAGCAGAGAGCGGGCCTTCTCCTCCACCATGGTCGCAATCTGACCTTTTCGGCGTGCCCTAGGTATTTCGGATATATATCAGAATTAGGAGCGTCCCGTGAGAGGCGAGCGGGCATCCTCACCTTGTGCCTGTTGGACTGTAGGCATCCCAGGGCTCCATCTCGATGGAGGTACAGGAATGCGGCACTTTGCCCACATCACGTATCACCAGCGACATGCGCTTGTGGTATTTCAACTGACCAACGGCCTCGTCGTGCGTCACATCGAGAAACGATTGGCCGTTGACCTCGAGGATCTCGTCGCCGATCATCAGACCACACCGATCGGCCACACTGTCCTTGTCGACGCCGGTGACAAAGATCCCCAGGCCGTACTCCACGCCGCCGCGTATCATCAGGCCGAGGGACTGTCCCGGCTCTATGAGCAGCTCCACGCGACGTATCCTGAGGGGGTGAAAGACGGTTATAGGTGGAGAAGAGAGATTTTGGGGCCTGCCCAGCGCTCGGGACCTACCGATCGCGCCGGTCGCTCCGTCGGCCCCCGTACTCCATGGGCGGCGAGGCGGGCCTGCCGTGCCGATCCATCCAGGAGCAGGTCTGCCGGAAGGGCAGGCCCTGTCCCGAGGCCGCCGCCGCTTGATTCTGTGGATGCAGGGGTGGTGCCATCGACGCGTACATGGGGTCGCGGGAGGGTGGTCCGAATCCATGGAGCGGCGCCGTCGAGTTCAGCGTGGGCGGGGCTCTCACCGTCATACTGATTTGACGTGACGATTTCAATATCTGCACACATCTCTGCGTTAAGAAAAAATGTGGCAATAGAAGAGACACAAAAGAGAGGACAGATGCGAGCAGAAAACGAACGAACCAACAAGAAGAGAGACAGAGTAAAAGAGTAAAGGAGTAAAGGAGCAAAGGAGCAAAAAGAGAAACGGGAGCAAAAAGTACAAAATTAAATCAAACAACAAACCAAAAACCCAAACAAAAATAATTTGATTACAAAAATTACTTTGCAAAAATTTGAAAACTAAAATTCCTTACGAACAAATTCCGAAATTATTAATTAACTTAAATTGTGGGCGTGTCCCGTAGCATGGCCCTAGTCCCCCGCCCGCTTTGCTGTTGCCTGTTGGCTGTTGGCTGTTGGTTTTTGTGGTTTCATGGCTGCTGCTGCCGCTGCTGCTGTCATTATTTTAATTGTTTCTGACCAAAAATAAAAACGAAACTAATGTGAGAGTGTGCAAAATTGTGTGGGTCCAAGGGTGCTGCTCTGTGCTGCGTGCAAACGGGTCGTCGTCGTCGTCGTCGTCCTGTGAATCCTCCCAGGTGTCGCCCCCAGGGACCCCCCTGGCCCCCCTTCCAGCAGCTTGCGGCTCTTGCGGTTTATTTTTCGGACTCTTCACAGGGACATTTCCTAGCTGCTGAATAATAATGGTCTATCGATACCCAGCTATCATCTACTCAGAGTCCTTCCGTGGTCCTTTCCGGTCAACAGAAGATGAACAGAAATGATATATTTCGAATGAAATAAAGTAAATCCAAAAGCAATGATATATACACAAACGATTCAGATACAAAATGCGACTAATCTATTGCCAATTTTTTCTCAGTGTATATTTGTATTAGTGTGTTATTGGTTTTAATACTTTTTCGTTTCTCAAATGTTTTAGTAATTATTCATACAAAAAGTATCAAGTGCACAAGGGTAGTATACGTATGTATATATGTATATTTATTGTATGTATTTGCATAAGAAAAACTACGGTAAAAATCGTTTAGAGCAGACAGAAATTGATCCAAATGATAGAACGGGCCGCAAAGGGGGTGGGCCACCCCACACCATATCCTTATCCATAGCCATACACAGACACATATGTGTTTCAAAAGCAAGTTTTATCGAAAATGGTTAAAGTTTAAATTGGTAGAAGAGCGTGAGAAATGGCACAACATGTCTCTGGGCCAGTGCCAGTGGCAGTGGCAGTGGCTCTCCCTCTTTTCAGCAATCTAGTTTGTCGTATCCATATATGAGGAATTATATTGACTATCAGAACGTGTCACATAAAATATCCTACAATAAATTGACTTTCGTTGTTGGACAGCTGCGGAGGGGAAGGCAGAGGCAGAGGCAAAGGCAAAGGCAGCCCTTCTGCTTTTCGTTGCCAAGTTCTGCCGAGTGTTGGCCATAAAAGACAAAGATGTTGGCCTACTGAATACAGTCTACTTGTTTTCTATATATGTATACATACATATATGCATATAAAAGCCTGATGGATGGGACCCTATTAGGGGCAACTATTAAGGGGGACAACGATTGAGAGAGCCGAAGCGGCCCGGTCTAGGGGCTCTATTCAAGAAAATCGCATTAAAAATCAATAAAGTGTACAATAAAATTTGATATTTTTGAAAGGAGATGAGTTTGACATTGCTGTCAGTGGCGCAGGATGGGCATGGAGCATGGAGCATGGAGCATGGAGCATAGCATAGCAGTGAGCAGTGAGCAGGGAGCAGGGAGCAGTGAGCAATGAGGACATCATTCCATACAGTGTCCATAATGTTTCTACTTTGAGAGGTGGAGAGTTCTTCGACTACTTAGTAATTTTCTGCATGCTCTAATCGATTTTTGTCTAAGAATAGAGAACATTAGCTACTACAAAATATATGGGTACGTTATTTTTATAAATATAGAAAAAGAGATGTAAATATATAGGCTTGTTTGTGGGCTATTTCGATGGATGCTCACCTTCAGCGCCTCCTCGTGATTGATTGAGGTGAATGGGGTGCCGTTCACCTCTAGGATTGTATCACCGGGTCGCAGTCCGGCGCGCTCGGCCACCGAATTCTCCTCGATGCGTGAGATGTAGACGCCCAAGCCTGGAGGCCCACAAAAACAACAAAAGGAAGGGAATCAATTAGCTCAGACATTGAATTTTTAACAAAAATCCACCATCCCCCCATTCCTTCCTTGGTTTTTCATTAAGCTCTGCCAAGTTGCCTGGAAGTGGTTTGAGGATGGAGTGCGGCAGCCATTTTATGTTTAATTTATAAAGCACATGTGCATGTGGCTGTGTGTGTGTGTGTGTGTGTGCCACAATGCCAGAAAGAGATAGGGAAACAGAAGCAATGGACGAGGAGGAGCCTGCCTGCATACGGGGGCAACTTAAATAGATTTTTATCGATTTTAAAGCCCCGTCCGCATATTGCAAACTAAAAATAAATTCTACCCACACCAGGAAATGGGAATGAAAGAGGCGCAGTCTTTGGCGGTGAAGGAGGGCTGTCCAAGGGGACAGGTAGGGGGGCAGGGACAGGGACAGGGGCAAGGGTCAGGGGTACTGCGGATGTGTGGCTGATGTGCCTGATGTGCCTGACGTGGAGGCAGGAAGAGCTGGTTAGCCGAAAAGGTAGTCAGGTGCAAAAATGCACTTGGAAAATGTCAAAGCTTCTGGCGGTTTGTCGAACACAAACAAAACCCACACGGCGGATGGATTGCTGGAGGAACGGAGAAACGGAGAACCGAATAACCGACAATATAAAACGAAATTGAAAACTAAATTGCACGAAAGTGGTTCCTCAAGCTAAACCAGAGACAGAGAGACTTAGGGGAGGAGGAGGAGGGGTAGGGCCTAAACCCACTGGGCGTGACATCAAATCAAACAGCAAGAGGCCTGGACTGGGCGTGGCTCTCAATCTGTCATTGAACGGGCGATAGAGTGCCCGGGGCAGGGGGCGCGGGGGGGGGGGGGGGGGGGGGGGGGGACATACCTGAGTCTTTGCCTCCTTTGACACAGATACCGAATCCATGATCGATCTGCTGATCCCGAGACATGGAAACGGTTCGCGTCGTTAGTTCGTGGATGTTCGGAACACTGCGATCTCTTTCCCGCTCACGATCCCGATAGATCTGCAATTAAGGAGGAGCAAAGGGAGTAAGTATAGTCCTTGCAGGAAGCTGGTGCCGGATGGTGCCGGGCACCCACCTGATGCGTCGTCGAGGGCGGACTGCTGGCCGGACTGCGTCGTCCGGTGCGATCGCGTGTGCCGCCATTGCTGTAGTGATAGCTACTCGTAGGAACTGAAGACGACTGGGTGGCGCCGAACATGCGGAGCACCTGCTCCGGCGATATGGGGCGCTTCTTGTTGCCGTTGCCCATGGCCGACCGCCCGCTGGCCGCCGTCGAGGTGGGCAGGGTGCCCGCCGTGCCGGCGGCCATGTGGCTGGCGGGTGAGGAGCTGAGGTACGCGGAGCCGCGTCCCGGCAGCGAGCCCCCCTTGGTGGGCACCCCCGCCGAGTTGAAGTAGTAGTGGGGCGAGTGGGGTCGCTCCACGATTGTGTACGAGGTGCCGGGCGGGGAGTAGTAGAGCCCCGAGCGGCCTCCGCCCACAGCTCCGCCACCGGCGCGCAGCGAGCTCGTGCTATTCCCCACACGCGACCCGCCGCCCATGCCCGTTGCCCCCGAGCCCCCGTAGGGGCCGCCGCTGCCGGGCGGTGGACTGATCATGCCGAAGGCCAAGCCGATGTCCTCGGCCTCGTAGCTGCTAGGAGCACCCGCACTGCTCCGCATATGGTGGGCACTGAGTCCTTGCGAGCCGCCAGTCGGCACGCTGGATGATGATTGGGTGGCGCCCGAAATGAGCCCGGCCAGTCCGCCGATGCCGCCGCCGCCCCCGCCACTGGGGCCGCCAAGGCCAAGTCCCGACGCTGCTCCGCCATGGTATCCGTAGGCTCGTGCACTCCAACGTGAGGGTCCAAGATCGCATAGTTCGGCATAATCGTTGCCAGCTGCGCTCATTGTCAGGGGGTCGCCGTCGTATGGTATGCCACTTCCCCCAAGGCGCATTACACTGCTGGAGCTGCAAGGAGACAACACGGGGGCACATTTGAGTATATCAAGTAGTAATCGAATGATGGATGATCTACAACTAAGACTTCGAGCCCCCAGATAACTCAGACCACAGCCTGGGGCAAGGGGTACTCAACCAGAATTGGGTTAAACACTCCCCCCCTCCACCGTTGGCGCTCCTTCAAGCAGCAACCCAACGAGATCCAACGCCCTCGCCTCGCCCCGCCCCGCCTCGCATAACTTTTGTTTGCCTACGCAGCGCTCGCCCGCTAAGCCGCAGCCGCAGACTGAGCCGTTTTCCATTCAGCGCAAACAAAAGCTTAATCTCCAGAGTCATATGTGGCGCCTGCCCCCCCACACACGCACACACACACACAGCTTTCCCTTTCCTGACTGACAAACACTCGCATTCACACACTCTGCGAAATCAATGGGAACTTATGCCCCGTGCTTCATTATTTATGGGCCAACTTTGGTTGGCAAAACAAAAACAGGTTGGTAAACCCCCACCCACCCCCTCATTGCCGCCCCCTACTGTTTCTGCCTCTGCCCCAGGGACAGGGGGACAGGCCCCCCTCTCATAAATAGTTGAAAATTGCCGTGCTCACACTTTGGCAGCCATGGCCTGGCATCGGCCACGCACGGACCCTGGCCGGGAAAACTTGCGGATTTAGCGGATAACATGGGAAATTTGCTAGGCGATATGCCAAGTGAAATAAACGAGTACTATCGTATAAGAGCACTGCATGTGCAGCTATCACTGAATAGTGATAAACGAGAGAGATTTACCTTTTCGTTTCATTTGAGTACTTGCCTCAGAGACCAACGGACAATTAGAGTAAATCGATGAGTTGCCAGGGGTTTAGTCGACCATGAAAATACCCTTCATAGAAAATACCCTTTTTGGGGCAAACATTATACATTATTGTAGGTAATGATACTCGTATTTGAATTCGATTCTTAACAGATAACGTAATCGATAACACGTCCAAGACTCCACTGCCTTCCATGATGAGTGAATACTCTTAATAATTCTATGAACAAGGACAGCCCTGGCTACAGTCCTGCCAATCCAATGAACCAACAAATTAACAAACTAAAAGCTTTTGCAAAATTTTGATGTGCCACTTGGCGGGCAATCAGTCAGAAAAAGTTGCAGTTGCAGTTGCAGAAAACCAAAATCCACTCAATTAATCGAATGTGAATTGCCAATAAGTTTCGAGTACTCAAATACTCATGAATGGCGTGAATGTGGGTGTATTCGTGTGCGTTCTCTGCAGAGAGAGTGCACTTTCAGCTAACCGACGAGGAAGGAACAAAAGCGCCGGGCAATTTGGTTTGACGCTTAAGCGCACTTAGCGGTCGGCCATTGGCAAGCACAGGCACAAGCACACAAACACAAACACAAACAGGACACGGGCCAACACACACACACAAGCAGGACACAGACATAGACAGAGACAGAGACAGAGCAAGTGCAGAAGCACCTACGTAATGGCGGGCAATTGTGCTTACGGTCTAACAAGCAGCCAATAATGTCCTTTTTGATTTACCGATACACATTTGCATTTCTTTTGCCCTCTCACTCGTCTACCCTCTCTCTAACCCACAATAAATTGGCAAGCAGACGCCATTACAAATGAGGCACACACCAATACACACACACACACACACACACACACAAACACACACACACACGCAGAAACAAAGTAAATGTTGGGGGAAATGTATTTTGTATAAATATCAATAAGAAGCATCAGAGACAGCTTTTTCCCATATTATATACATATATGACAATAAATATCTCTGTGGCTATTTTCCTCGCAGCCCCCAAACCCCCGCCCCCACTTCCAACCCACCCACTTTTATCTATCAGTTTTTTTTTGTATTTTCTTTATTTTATCTTGTTGCTTTTGTTGCTGCCTTGGCTTTGTTATAAAATAAACGGCAAAAACAGCATGCTCCAAACGTATTTACTCATGACCTTGCCGAGGCAAAGCCAGCACACACACACACACAGACACACACACACTTACATACTCGTATAGTACATATGTACCCACACACTCGTAGACACTGAAATACAACCACAACGTCGCCTGGCGTTGGCGCTTGTCACAAGGACATTTTTCATGTGCGCAATGTGACATTTTTTTTGGAATTTGTTACTCTCTGACTCTGGTTTGTTCTGTGCCAGCCAGCCAACCAGGCAGTCCATGGGACGCACAGTGTCCCAAAAGCGACATATAATTGAGTCATATCTGGGACTGGCTTCTGTGGGAATTGGCAACTAAAAAATTTATCATAAAGGAGCACTTTCCAATGGGTTTCAGATACAGGCACTGTTCAGAGATGGCTTGATATTTTGAAAGTTTTGAAAAGGAATAAAACCGGCTTGGAAATGGAGTAAAACAACGAAACAGCTGTTTTTCTGTCCAAGGGGATGCCCCTCAGTCTGACGATGCCTGCTTCAATGGCTTTGATGGATTTTGAAGCATAATTTCCTTACAATTTTCGAGAGTGGAATAGATATATTGCTTAGATATTTTACTTCCCCAGACACGGCTTTATCTGCCTCGAGTGATCGAGCGTCGATCTATATAATTTTTTCGTGGCCGTATCTTCGGTATTTTCCTCGAATGGCCGTACATTTATTGCTAGGGATGCCGGATAGGGATAGGGCTTTCTTGGGATGTTCCTTTAGTTTGGTGCCACTGCCGCCAGGTCTCTGCTCTCCATTTTGTTTCGGTTTTTTTTTTTTGTATTTCAGTCTACTGCCAGCAGATGGCACTTGCTTCTAACTGTTTCGCTGTTGTCTTTGGCCCCTCTAACTCACACTCACACTCACAGAGCTCCCTCCTGCACTCCTCCGCTCCACTCTCCACTGGCCGGGGTCGCCTTTTTTGTCGTGGCTTTTTGTGGCTGTTGTTTGATTTGAAAATAAGTTTTGTATATTGTTCACTCCAGTTTTTATGGCACTCGAGCCTAGGCATTTTGCATTTTGCATGTTGCATGTTCTACATGCCTGCCCCTGCCCCTGCCCCTGCCCCTGCCCCTCTCCGTGTGTGTGTGTGTGTGTGTGCATCTTTCCGTTTGGTCCAATGCTGCACTGCAATTTTCGTAGTTGTTTGCATTTTTCAAATAATTGGAAAGCACATTTCGATGTTTGAGCTTCGAGAGACAGGACTGCCCCCCAAATGTGTGCCACACGAGGCAAGCCAGAGGGCGGAAACCCTTTATAGCCTGGCATTAATAATGGATGTTTAATACGCGACTGGCATTTAATGTTCAGCTTTTCAAGTGCGCCTAATAGTGCCCGAGGCATATTAAAACATTAACCCGGGAGCCGCAGGATTTCGCCAAGCACTTCGCCCCCGAGCATTCATCAGCGTTCATCATCATCATCATCATCAGGGCTTTCCTTTTTTTGCTGCCTCTACCTTTCCCGTGTTCTGTTTTTTCTTCTCTCTTTTTTTTTTTTGGTAAATTTCTGGGGAAGTAATTATGATAAATGCAGGATGTACACGAGTGTGTGGGATGGATCAGGATCGGAGAGAGGAGGCCTTTGTGTGCCCCTGTGTGCGGCATGTCGAACTTGTAACTGGGTTAATTGCGCGTGAATAAAAGTAAAGGTGGGAGAGACTGAGACAGAGAGGGGGGACAGGGGATGGTGTGGTGCCTCGCCCACTTCCCACTTCCCGCTTCCCGTCAATAAATCTTGAAGAAGATCTCTCAGACCATTCCATTCCATTCCGATAAGAAAAGCAGTTCTGCAGTTACGTGACTTGTTTTCTTTTCTTATATTTTCTTTCGTTGTTCTGGCATATTTCCGCTGTTCTTAAACTGCTTATAAGCCAGAAAAAGCAACGTGCTCGAAGATGAGTAATCGTGTGAAGGTTTTCCGAATGAATGCGAATATTTCAACAAACATACAATAGAAATACATGCATACTTCTGCAGGCATTTGAGAGTTAAGTATTTATTAGATTCAAAGGATTGTGCGACTTGTGTGGCAGCAGCAATTGCATAATCAAAGAGCAAATTCCATTCTGGAGCCAGCCCCTGGAGGCGATATTGATTACCCGCCCATCGAGGAGAGATATGGATACGCCAAGGGCAACCATCCGCCATCCACCATCCACCATCGAAGGACTCTGCACAAAGCCCGAGCATGGCGCATGGCTCTTCATCCCCAAATCTGTACACGAACAGAGCAGCATGGCTTCACCTATACACTCAAAGCACACATGTATAGTCGTATTAATGTACTAATCAGCTTTGAGCATGTGGTACGAGTGCTCAAGGATGGCGTGGAAACATATCTGTGTGCAATAATTCAAATAAAACGGATCAAAACTTGACGTGAAGAGAGTTCAGCTTCAAGCAGGCTACTGTCCAATTTACCGTCCCTCTCTTTGGGAAGCAAAGGGCCAAAGTTCCATCAACTGTGACCCCAGGTGTATCTCCATCGTTTCCCTATAACTTTCCAGCAAAAAGACCGAACAACTGCGAAGGAAACTGCAAAAAGAATAAAGAATTCTGTTTACTTAAGCCATCTGGCAGTACTTCCTATATGTGTAGTACATGCTGCACATGGGGATCTCTGTTCACCTCCTCTTGCCGGTGTTTTTGCACCTTTTCAATTTGCTGGCCCTGTTGTTTCTGGAGGAGGGCGTGGTGGAGGCCCCTCAAAGAAGCGTCACGTAGGCCACGAAACGAAACGAAGCGAAAATCTGTTATAATAAGATATGCACAAATGCACATGCATAAGTTAGACACGGAGCAGGGCCAGAACGGGCCTAAAGAACGTCGCAGAAAGAAGCCCCCGAAAGAACACAAAAAGAAGAACGAACCAAGTTGACTTACACGTCAACTATTGATTTTTTAATTAAATATTAATGAAGCACGAAGAGCGACAGCAGCAACAAAAATGGCACACAACACGCTCAAAAAAAACACACAAAAAAATACAAAAAAAACAACAACAAGCAGGCGAATACGAAGACGGGAAGTGGAACGCCTCGAGGTATGCTACAAAAAACATGACACACAAAGAACGGTCGGAAGGAGACGGTTCTTCGACGGTTAGGAGGTTAGCCAGGTGGCCGGACAGGGGGGCAGAGGGGCAGAGGGGCAGAGGGGCAGAGGGGCAGAGGGGCAGGGAAATACACGAGCAAATTACGAATTTTTAATCACACGTCGCGCTCGTTATATAAGCAGGAATCCTAGTGGTATCAGCTCCCTGCCGAACCGACAAAAAGAAGCGAACAGAAATCAAATAAAATAAATATGCAAAGCGTCGTCTCGCTGGGAGCTCTGCCCTGCCCCTCTTCCGATCCTGCCCTGTCCTCGCAGGCCCCTGTCTTTGAGTAGGTCGTCTATGCACAGACACGCAACCAGAAGCGGCAGCAAGCAACAACAACAAAAAATTGGAGGAAATGTGTGGAAATGTTAAAGGCAAATGAAACTAACTGAGGAAGTGGTGATGAAGGGAGAGGAAAAGGAAGGGGAAGGGGAAGGGGAAAAGAAGTGTGTGTGTGAGTGCCAACGAGAGACAGGACAGCCGGGACAGGCTGGCATTTCCTACAAAACGCCGAGCAGCATTTTGTCCAGTCACGAAAAGTTTTGTCTACACAAAAAAAAAATATAGAAAAAGAGAGGGAAACTCAAGTGTTCCGACTGAATGATACCCAGCATATAGTAGATGTAGACACAAGGATATGGCAATGAAGTCTTTGATTGGATTACACTGAGAGAAAAACGGCATAGAAACAGGAAACACATCCATAAATGGGTATTCAATGTATTTATGCTGCCTTCTCTGGGTCCGAGGGACTGCCTGTTACATAGCCCCCTTCGAGGGCAGTATACCCTTGAGCGAGTGCGAGTGCGGGTACACACACACACATCTGTATCTGTATCTGTATCTGGGGGAGCGGAGGCGGGTTCAGGTTAGCAAGAACCACTCGAGTCGACAAAGTCTCAAGTTGAATGAAGAACTCACGCAACGCAACCCATGTACGAGTACGAGTACAGGGGGAGGGGGAAGGGTAGGGCCAAGAGTAGAGTCCTAGAAATTTGCTGGGCCCCGGCAAGGAATTTCTCGTTGTTTTCCTTGATGCCATTTGCAACGTTTTACGATGACTACGAATTTGTGCATTTGAAAATGGAAATTTATGGACGGCCAGTCGAGACACTGGCAATGTGTTGATGGGAAATGAATGATGAATATCTTTCGAATAGTTCAAATGCAACACATTCATTTCCCTGTTTGTGTCCGTCTCTGTCTCCGTCTTTGGCTCTGACTCTGGCTCTGGCATGCAGTAATTGAAAAGGAACCCACATTTTTCATTTGCCTTTCACTCATTTTCCCTTTTGCCCATTTTCGCTTATTAAAGTGATGCGAAATTCCATTTATGTTTGCCATAAATTCAGGGCAGAAAATGGGAACAGAGCAGAGCACATTTTTGCCTGCCTGCCTGCCTGGCAAATGGAGGCTTCCATTCAGCCCGTAAGGCCCTTAATTATTATGTCAGCTAACTGAAAGTTAATAAACCACTCATTGTCATGAAAATAAAAGCCAAAAATAAACGAAATGAACCTAAAAGGGGGCATATGGCCAAATCAATAATAAATACATAAACGGGCCCGCAAACAAATGATTCAGACAAGAAGAGGCCATGCAGCATGGGGCACGGAATACCCTTCCACGGGGGCACATGGCCCAAAAATCGTGGAATATATTTTCAATTAAAATTCCGGGAGTAGAATTTAGAAAAAATTCTCTTGCAGCCCACAAAATATGAGTCCTTCTAGTTGAGAGGAGAACTTGGACCGAAATCCGATGAAATCGATTCATGGTAGGACCGTATTCTCCTTCTCACCGTTACTTACAAAGGAATATCCCTTGAAAAACTCATACAAACTGAGCACTTCCTCCTTCAGTTGCAGGGCAGGGTATCCCCAATATAATTTATCAGACTCATCATAATCGTTGGATTGCGTGGATACCCCCAGCCGCTGCCGCTGCCAAGGCGAGGATAATAAGCCAGCAATTAGTGTCACCGATGGACCTGCTGAGGACCCAAACAGACACACAGCCCAAAGCCGAGGCCCCGCCATTTAAAGCAATTTAGCTGAGGATGGGCCCAGGAAAAAAGGTTAAACGAGTCGCACTCTCTCGCTCACACACACACTTCTATTATCCTGCGAGTATATCCTCTTTAGCTGCTGGCTCAAATTGAAAAAGGGAAAAAAAGGGAGTGAAGTGAATGGAAAAAGTGGCGAGGACAAATCGCAATTCCAGTTTTATTAATATTTTTCTATTTGCCTATGGAAAACTACTGAATGGATGGCCACCCCCCGCTCCCCCACCCTCCCGCTCAGTGGGTCCGCTTTCAATCGTTTCAATGGCCGTAGTAAGGAGGAAACTTTCTTAATACAAGATACTTAAAGGACACAGCCGCACACAAAGAGCGAGAGAGACAGAGGGAGCGGGAGCGGGAGCGGGAGAGACAGAGACAGAGAAGCACAGTCCGACATTCAATTGCCACCTTTTGCCTGAAGGATTTTCCATCCCTGTGTGTGTGTGTGTGTGTGTGCGTGTATCTATGTGAGTTCTGCCCAACTCAAACTGAAAGTCTTAAGTGAATTAGGAGGGGAAACTTGCAACATTCCCAAGACAAGTCCTGCCACTGACTGCGCCCCTGCCCAGTCCAACCACTTCAAGGTTCTCCACCTAATGAGCTCTTGAAGTGCACAAGTTTGAGCTCCGTAAATATATAGATGAACACCAAAAAAAAAAAGGATTATTCTATATGACAGCCCGGCCCCGTGCCTGCCCACCTCCCGCCCGCCCTTTAATGATCATTCCTTTTGACTGGACACCTGTGCCAGTGCCTGGTCCCCCCGCAAAGATTGATTGTTATAGAGAAAAGGCTCGGCTTTGGCCACTTAATGATTGCCAGCCGAAAAAGAAAAACCAGGAAAGAATTGTGGATGGTGTCAGGTCGGAATGGGGCTTCGACTGAGACTGGGGGCGTCACCCACACCTTAATGTAGCATAAAACAATTATCGGAATTTCCTTCTTCCACTTTCCTTTCTTTTTTGGGTTGGGCCTGGTCATGGGATGGGGCTGGGGCTGGGGCTGGGGGCTTAGTTTATGTTGCTCGTAATTAAAGTTGTGGGGAATGGCAGTGGATGGCCGCTGGGTGCCCATCAAATCGATATTCGAGAAGGAGAACCCAGAGCCGAGAGTGAAGGTTAGACAGGTGAAAGGAACTGGCACAGGAGTCTACAAATTTCCAATTGGATGTGGCTCCGATTGCCACTGGGATTTTTCCAGATGCCAGACTCCTGCGGATATCAGAGTGTAAGTCAGGGCCTATCCCCACGAGTGGCTTGATTTAGCTTGATTCCACCTGCCCATCACCAGCCCTCAAGGATACACCCGCCGCACTTGACCTACAAAAATAGCAGAAACCATTATTAATGATAGTGCCTGGTGCCAGCGGAATATTCGGGCGAGAAATTAATTGACTCAAAAACACATTCGTGGCTGCGACCTACCTGGGCCAACTACGTAATAACTATTTAATGGGTTATTTCACTGCCTCCCCCAGTCCCCGGTCCCCGGTCCCCGCCAAAATGAGGCGGCGGCAAGTGCTGGCCGAACGGCTGACATTTAATTAAAATTGGCGCCTAATTAATTGCCCAAAAACGAGAGCGCACAGTCCGACATGACAGGACATTACTAGGCGTATGAGTGATGTTTGAATTTGGAGCAGCTTTTCGCTAATTGAAAATGAAATTGTGATCTCTGATTTCTGATTTCCGATTTGTGATTTCTGATTTTTGGCATTTATTCCTGTGGTCGTCGGGCATTTTATTATCGCCAATATTTGCATGATTGATTCCACGGCTAAAATGATTTCGCAGTTATTATTCCGGTTATTATTCGGGGCAGCCCCCCAAATAAATGCAGCGCTCTTTTTTTTTTTGTTGCCTCTTTTCGGTCCGCTGGCAGCATTTTTGCTCTGCATAATTGATGGCTGAGCTTTTAATTGAAGCTGAGTTGCGGTTATTACGGATGTAAGTGGCGCGAGGGGCAGGCAGATGGATGGGGCGCAAAATGTATGCAAATTAAGACTGCACCGAGGGCGGTCCACAATTAAAGGGAAATCGCAGCGAGAGAAAAACGAAAAAAGCGAACAAAAACGGAAAGAAAGAGAATGAAAACGCTCTAATTGAAGTGCGTTTGAAGGGGCGGGAGCAAGTGCTGGAACACCACTTGAGATATCACAAGGAGCGGGTGCAAGTACAAGTGTCCTTGAAGGTGTAGAATGTTTTTGAGAGATTGATTTTTTGGGCACGCTTGGGCAATAAAATCAGATGCAAATATACATAGTGCGGATTCCCAAGACCGAAGTGCGGCTTCTATAAAAATGGGGGGGGGGCCAGTGTTTTTGAACTCAATCCCATGCCACGATTTAGATCTAAGTGCATCTAGAAGACCAGAGAAATATCTTATGAATCACAGGAATGTCCCTTTATGAACTTAAAGAGATTCCAGAAAGTTCTAGGCTTTATTCGCCTCTGAGAGTTTCTAGAAGGATGTCTCCCTCTCTCTGAATAGAATAATTACACAGACAGATCCTTGAAAATATAATTGAAGTCACACTTACTCTAAAGAGCCATCACATACAATCCCCAAAAGAAATAAGTTTTGATTTTTGAGAGCCCTCGCACTGGTGCTACGGCTACTCGTTTATCTACGAGTATGTTGCACAATGAATGTGGCATAAATCAACTCCATTCAGGCGCTTTCACAGCGGCTCTTATCTGAGTTTCCCCTGTTTGAGTATTTTTTTTTGGGATGTGCTCACCTGTCTGGAATTCTAAGGATACATTAAAGTTGCCTCTTGCTGCGCTTGTTCGGGTGTGTCCGACGTATCCGCTGAGCCGCTGTTTGCTAGAGGCTTCTATTGAACTGATTATGACAGGACCGGACGCGTGTCCTGTCCGCAACAGTGTTGTCCGGGTCCTGCTGCAGCCGTCCCGCTGTCAGGCTTTCTGCAACAGTCAGCTGCTGCTACTGCTGCTGCCGCTGCCGTTCCTGCTGCTGCTTGTGGCATGCAAAAAGTTTTCCCTTTGCACTGCGGATGTGTTCCTTGTTTTCACTCACTGTTCCTCTCTCACTCTCTCCAGCACTGTTTCTGCTGAATCTTCTTCTTCTTCTGTTTCTGCTTCTTAGTCTCTCCCTTCCTATTCCTATTCCTATACCTCTTCCTCTTCCTTTTCTTCTTTCTCTTCGCTGTCTGTCAGTTTATGCGCTTCCTGCCTTTGCCTGCCGCCCGCCGCCGCGTTCTGGCGAGAGTGAAAGTATTTTTTGTTGTCTCTTTTTTTGTTGTATTTTATCGTGGTGAATTTCGCCACGCTGCTCGGAGCAGCTCTCTCTCTCTCTCCTCTCCCGAAGCTCGCTCTCGCTCTCGTTCGACTGGCACTCTCCCGCGCTCTCTCCTTCTCAAAGAGCTAGAAACATTTTCTGGTTGAGTTAATTTTTTGAAATATTTTTGTTTCCTTCGATTTTTTGGGCAAATCCTTTCCAGAGGATTTCGGTTTATTTTTAGGGCTATTTTCGCTTGTGGTATAGTATTTTTTCACTCGGTATTTATGCGCATTTTCGCAGCATTCCAGAGGCAACAACAACTTTGTTATGGTGCTTTTATGGTAGTCGTGGGGGGAGGGGGCGGGGGAGTGGGGCTGGGGGTGGTTGTGGGACTAGGTACCGTTGGCTGATTTAGCTGTTTTCTAGTTTCCGCTCCGCTCTCCTACGCCTGCCTCTCGGCTGCGCCTATAATCTGGCAAACTTGCGTACTCCGTATTCCGCCGAGTCCGAGTCCGAGTCCGAGTCCGAATAACGTAACCGAATTCGGACTTAACCACTCCGAAAGTGTGGTGGCGAATCTGACGTTCTGTGTAATTTAACCTTCTGCCCTACTCTCTGGAATGCGTCATCGGGAATCGGGAATCGGGTATCGGGAGTCCGGGAGTCGGGAGTCGGGAGTCGATTCGAGTTGCTGATTCCCGTATTTATTTGCTTAATATTTTATTTGGCACTTACACACACGCACGCACGCACCGCACACGCACATGCACATGCACAGATGTTTAATTATTTTTATACTTTTCACCACATCGACCATACGCCATGTTGTACGCGAGAGCCCTCCAAAAGAGCCCCTGTAGTACACAGGCACAGGCACAGGAGGCACAGGAGGAGCCTTGGCCAGAAGAAGCCTTCAAGGTTATTCTTATTTGCCTGGTGGCTCCCAATTTCTATTCAGATTGAAGTCCGTAGGGGCCCTCATCCGCTGGCCTGGTCTACGCAGTATCTACATGCTATGGACATGCTCCCGTAATGAAAAAAAAAAAAAAAAAAACACGGTTCAAGCAGGAATACCGTTGCACACATTACACTCAAAAAAAATGGAAGAGTTCCCAGGGCTGCCTCTGATAGCCCATAATTGGCAATTCCGCTGGGCCTGCACTTGCGTTTTTTTCGGGTTTTTTTTTCGGATTCTTCGGATTTTCTTTTGCAATTAATTTTAGGGTAATATTTTTTCCACAAAGCGCGACTTGTAGTCTCTCTCTATCGCTCGCTCGCTCCCTGGATTTTTTGCGGAGCTCCGCGTCTTGACCGTTTGACTACTTGGGAGGCTTTGCTTTCGGATTCGCCTCTGGTTCGGCTGAAAGCTTTTCCTTCAGTTGGTAGGCTTCCGCAAGGAGAGAGAGCCACTGAGAGAGACAGAGCGGAGAGAGCCCCCGCCGAGACTGTCTGGCGACGGGCAGGCGAGCTTTGCACTCTCTTTGCACTCAAAGTTTGCGTTGTTTGGATTTTGTTGTTTTAATTCTCGGCGAGCTGGTGGCCAGGGGACTGTCGTGTGGGTGGGACTAGGACAGGGACAGGGACAAACTCTCGTATCCCGTGTGCTTTTTGAGGATTTCTTTCGTGTAATTGTTTTCGTTACGTTTGTTACGTTTGTTATGGGCACCAGAGCCACTGCGCGAGCCATGTGCCTCAAATGGAGACGTAATTGTGCGCTGAGAGAAATTAGCTGTGAATGGGATATGACATTCGATGTGGAAGGAGGTTGAATTAATCAACAACTATTCATCATCACAATCATAATTATCGTATCATATCATATACTTAATGTTTAGGTTCCATGAAATTTCTTTAGTCGTTTTGCTCGTCGCATGCTCTTCTGCCTTCTATGTATGTACAACCTATTTCAACCTTCCTACCGCTACTATCTCTCAGTGTAGTCATAAAAAACCATCCGACAAACAGCAAGTAAGCCAAGCAACCATCATAAAAGCCTCCCCAGACGGCGCCCACACACCCTGCACGCCATGGTTCTGCAGCGGCAGCAGCAGGTAACGAGCCTCTGCCTGGCAAACTATTTAGAAGCTTCGCGAAAAGCTCTCTCGCTCTCTCTCTCCCTCTGTCGCTCGCTTGTTCTGCTCTGTCTCCCACGCAAGAGCTCAACACAGCTGGCAGAGAAACGTCAAGCTGTATGTGTGACAGGAGCGGCGTGGAGCAGAGCAGAGCGAAAGGAATATCACGAAAGGAAAGTACAAATAAGAAAAACCAGCAAAACCAAAAGAGTCTTGTCAGGTAGCAGAGGACCTCTTTCCACAAGAGGAAGCTGTGTGCGTGTGTGTGTTTGTGTGAGAGAGACCTGGAGGTGCGAGTGTGAGCACGACACGTTGTTGCATTTGCGAACGCACAAAAGAAGGCAACGGTAAAATAACGGTTTCGTTTCGTTCGTTTCGTTCGTTTCTCTTTTGTTCTTTGTTGCTTTTTGTTTGAAGGCTTCTCCTGCTCTTCTCCCTGGCGTTAAAGGGAATGTACACGTGCTCTGGGGCACTAGGTGGCAGACGCTGGGGGAAATGTTATTGATGAGTAAAAGGGGGAAATGGAATGGAATGGAATGGAATGATGGGTGGTTGTGGTGGGGGAGGCGGTGAAGGCGGTGAAGGCGGTGAAGGCTAACCTAACTGTCGTCATGTCCCTCTCCTTGCAGCTTCCACCTCGCTCTCTCGTTGAGAACTTTTCTAATTGAATTTCTTGTTTTGACCTACAGGGTCAACCCTGGCCTGTCTTATCAGTGTGGTATATCTACCAATACATGAGTACGTGTGCAAGTCTGTGTGGGTGTGTGGGTGTGTGTCTGTCTGTCTGAAATTATGTCATTCTGGCTGCGTCATTGTGTCTGCCTGTCCCTGTGGTCTATTCTATTGATTATTTCTTCGTCGTTTATGACGAAATGCCATTGTAGTACGTTTCAAATTGCTTTCACCTTTGTTCAGCTTCAGCATCAGCTTCTACATCTACTTCTGCTCTTCTTCTGCTGCTGCTGCTGCTGTTGCTGCTGCTGTTGCTGCTTCTGCCTCTGCTCTTCGCTCTTGACTTGCACAACTATGACGTCATTGTTAACCCCGGAGCTTTCACTAGCGCGCGCACACAACGCCCCCTATCACACTCACCCACTCAACTCGACTTTGATGTCAACTTGTCGCACCCTCACTCTCGCCGCCGTCCCCTCGTCCCGGCCCGACCAGACCAGACCCTAACGGGGTCCCTCCTGCTCGGACCTCCACCTCTTTAGCAAACCACTGCCTCCCCCTGTCAAGTCAAGTCAACTCATTTCCATTTCCATTTGATGCCTGATGCGGATTTTCAGTGACTAGTTTCGTGAAAGTTTGTTTTTCGAGAGCTTTTCTCCCTTTCACAGTCCCCGCTTCCAGTCCCTGTCCCAATCCGTACTTCTCCCTCGGTTCCATCTCAATTTGTTTCCCTTTGGCTTTTATTATTGCGGCAAAAGATTTATTTTTTGTCATTGAAGTGATCTAATTAAAGTTTGTGTGGACCAAAAATTATAAAAGGCGGATGGGATAAGGGGGAAAGAAAGCCAGAAATTTGTTTTCCCGAGAAAGTGGTTGAGCAAGGGGCTGTTCGGCTGTACGGGAGGGGGGGGTGGAGCAGTGTCGCAGGGTCACGCTTGTGCTGTGGAGGTGCAACTTGTTTTCGTTTCCGTCCCAAAGTTGTTAAAAAGCCAAAAAAGTAATTTATTTCAGTTTTACTGCCTCCATTTTGGGTGTTTGGGTTGAGTTTGGGTTCTATCCCTGGCAAATGTAATGAGATTTTTTGACCCGCTAACTTGGTCTCTGTTCTTCTAGCCCCTCCTGAGCTCCCCTCTCCAGCCCCCTCCCCCCCCCCCCCCCCCCCCCCCCCCCCCCCCCCCTCCCACAACAGCTTCAGCCTTCGCTCTAGCCTTGCAGATGCTGATTTGGTTTGAAGCCTTGGCCAAGTTCTGTTGGCATCAGCTGCTTGATAATCGGATTTTTCTATTCTTCCACTCTCCCTCTCTCCCTCTCTCTGTCGAGTGTCTGTCTGGTGCCTTTTGCATGTGTAGAAATGGGTTAAGCTCTTCTGTTGACTTGTCGGTGGGCTTAAGGGCTAATCAAAGTTGGAAATCAGTTCTGTTCGTTTCACAAAAACTTTGAATGGAATGACGAATTTCTGTGCACCAGATTCGCTGCGAGGGATTTCTCATTCAAACATCCTAATGCAATTTCCTATTACTAGTATTATTCGGCTTTTAAGTCAATAAATCACTTACGGAGACACAAACTTCTATTATAAAAATCAATCAAGTTTCCATCAGATTCTCGCGATTTCCAAGAACATACTATATTCCATTAAAATATGAGTTTGGTTTGCTTTTGGTACAATTTATTTCGAAGAAGAACACAAGTTTACGCATTTCATTTATATATTATATATTTACAAAATTAATCGGTTTTCTTCGGGGCTTGCTTCTGTTTCTGTTTGCAATTTACTTCGAAATAGCTCTCATAGTTAATATATATGTATATATATATATATTGTATGTAGATCCTTAGTGTGTATATCGCATATGTATACTAATTGTCGCCGTTCCTCTCATTTAACGGCCTTAAGTGTAGAAATAAACTCAAAAAAAATGTCTTAACCGTATAATTGTGCACTCCACTTCATTCGGCGATCGAATCGTACAAATCGTACCTATCGCTCGGATATCTTAATATATTGTATATATAGTGTATATAGTATTTTGTATTTTTGTATTTATAATACGCGTACAGTGGGTAAAAAAACATCTATACAAATACGAGTACGCTCTGTTGTGT